ACACATATTTGAAGCTATTTCATTAATTACAGGCACACTTGGTTTTATTGCTCTTCGCTTTATTGCTCACAGATTTATTGCCTTTCACAGATAGTGTGGTTTTTACAAATTGAAGGTTTGTGGCAATCCTGCATCAAGCAAGTCTATCAATGCCATTTTTCCAACAGCATGTGCTTACTTCATGTCTCACAAAATGTGTCACATTTTGGTAATTCTCACAACATTTCAAACTTTTTCAAAATGCTGTCACACACTTAATAGACTACAGTGTAGTGCAAACTTAACTTTTATATGCACTGGGAAACCAAAAATTCATGTGACTCTCTTTATTGAAATATTTGCTTTATTGTGGCAGCCTGGAACAAACTTGCAGTATCTCTCTGAGGTATGCCTGTACTTTAAAAGGCTACAGTGCAGTTTTGTTTTGTAACAAAAAACCCTTGTTTGCTGCCTGACTGATACTTTGCAACCAGACATGGAAAGATCTAAAGTGAAAGACAGCCCACAACCCCCAAACAGGGCAGGAATGGGCACATGTGGGTGGGGCAGGGAACGAGCAGAAAGGCTCTCTACTAGAGTCTACAGGTCCAGAGTTTTGACTCCTGGTGGAAGGTATCCTCTTCCCATCCATGCCCTTGTTCGGATTCAGTCTTTGTGTTAAAAAATTGTGTCCATGATGAAACAAAGTCCCAATAAGACTAAATGTATCCCATCTTGGTCATTCTCCTGCTATTCACTCTTTCCTCTCTCCTTTATGTTTTCTGAGGACACCAATACAAGACTAGATACTCTTGTATTAGGAACAAACCATTGATTCAAATTACCAAAAACCACTGAAGTGAAGAGTAGAGAACTGGAAAAGAATTTAGATTGCTATAGAAACACAACACAGTATCAAAAGACTTTCATACTAAAAACGCACACTGCTAAACCCAAACTGAGGTGTAAAAATGTTTCAGGAAATTTTATTCACTCTGTTTCACCTATGCTGTAAGGTAGTATCAGGATCCCCATTTTACAGATCAGAGAGTCCCTGATTTAGGCTGTAAGCACTGTCTTAGATGATGGGATTCAGAGATGGGTAAATGGACATGAAGGAAAAAAGCACTTTATTATGGAAATGGATGTTTGATTCTCTAACTTCACAGAGAGGTGGCATTTGGCTGGATGACTGAAGAGAGTTAATTAATGAGGACTAAAAAGAATACCTATTAATCTGAGCTCTGAACTCTTTACTTTGCTGAGTCCATCGGATTTTTTCTCCACTCAGTCCATCTATGAGAGTGGAAGCTGCCTGCATCTTTTTCCGGCACATGTCAGCATCATTAAGCAAATCCTATATTCACAAAAGGAGAATGTCTCAAAGAACTTTCTAGAATGATTAATCAAGCATCTCTTTTGTTCACACATAAAAATACACAAAGACGTGTCTGAATTTTCAAAATAAAAGTAATCTAAAACTACAGTGAGTGAAACTTTACATATTAATTTCTGATAATTCATTGGCTTACATCATAAAATCTTTATTTTGCATTATGAAATTTCAGGAAAAGCAACTTCATGTAAGATAAAACAGAACAAATTAAAATAGTATTTCTTTAAATATTTTCAAAATGGAATAAAATTTATAAAAATTCACTACTTTAAGACTTGGATTTTATAATAATCCTGAATTCTTTGCAGACTGCAAAGCATTTTCTTCCAGGAAAAAAAAAAAATAACCAACCAATGGTGTGTGGCAGTCAGTTCATACCAGCTCACAAGAACCAACTGTGACATTTTCAGAAAATATGTTAGCTGGTTGTTAAACACAATCATTATTAAAAAATTAAGTTATATAAACTTACAGTTAAGCAAATTATATTTTTAAAAAGTAACAAACACTTAAAACTCATCACTTCCTAAATATTTACTACATTTTCCTATTATGCATGCTCTTGAGATGGAGCTCTGGTGGCATAGTGGTTAAAATGCTCAGCTGCAAACCAAAAGGTCAGCAGTTGGAACCTACCAGCTGCTCCAGGGGAGAAAGATGTGGCAGTCTGCTCCCATAAAGATTTACAGCCTTGGAAACCCTATGTGGCAGTTTTATTCTATCTTACAGGGTCACTATGAGTCAACTTGCAAGCAGTGGTTGTGGTATTTTTGGGTATGCTCTTGAGGATATTGAAATCTATTGTATTCATTGGGTAAAAATACTATATAATGTATATTCCTCTATATGTCTTTTTCCAACTTTGCATTCTGTGACTTCACACTGGTAGCTTGAAATTAGCAACAGTGACAGTATTTACACCACAGAAATCAGTCAACACTATAAATAAGCCCCCACACCAGCCAGACATTGAACATTTACCAGCCCACCAGTAATAACAACCTATGCTGTAAGATAGTATCAGGATCCCCATTTTACACATGAACTTATAAATCACTTGCACAATTAATAAGGGGCTGAGTTGGATGTCAAATCCAGTTTTTAAACTCTACAACCAGCAGTCTTTATATTATATTATAGCTTACTTTTATACTTAACTGCCATCGAGTTGATTCCAACTCATAGAGACCTCCAGTGGGTTTCCAAGGCTTACTTTTATAAATACATAAATATTAGCAACACAAAAAAGAAATTTTGAATGTCAAAGATCCAAAAATAGGTAGTGCTAATAGCCAGTATAGAATAGCACTCGAAAATCTTCTGTCATCATCAATACTTGCCTAGTTTCTAAATACAACACATAACCAAAACCCATTGCCATTAAGTCAATTCCGACGCATAGTGAACCATAGGGTTTCCAAGGCTGTAAATCTTTACAAAAGCAGATTGCCTCATGGTCCTCCCACAGAGCAGCTGGTGGGTTTGAACCACCAACCTTCTGGTTAGCAGCCAAATGCCTTAACCACTGTGCTACCAAACCAAAAAAACAAAACTCACTGGCTATCAAGTAGATACCAACTCATAGTAATGCCCATTGGATTTCCAAGGCAGTAAATCTTTACGGAAGTGAGTTGCCCCATCTTCCTTCCATGGAGTAGCTGGTGGGTTTGAACTGCCAGCCTTCCGGTTAGCCATCAAATGCCTTAGGCACTGTGCCACCAGAGCTTCAGAGCTCCTTAAATACAATACACACTTCTATAAAATTTCATTACAGTCCTTTGGTGATTTTATATATTTAATCTCACCATTTTCTCATTCATTGCTGCATCAAATTTTGCTTGTACTTTATCCAACTCGGCTTGCTTCTCATCCAGCAGTGCCTGTGCCTTCCCTAATTCAGCATTAGCAACTGCTAAGCGGCCCTCCTGCTTTGCCAGGTTAGCCTTAAAAGGAAGAAGAGGTGGTTAGTGGAGAATTGAATTAGCTCTAAAAAGCATTCATGTGTTTTAACTGGCAAATAATAACAAAATTACATAAGTTTTTCAATGTTTTGAGTTAGGGAAGCAGAGAGTCTCTGAGATATTTCACTTTTTTTTTTCCTTTGAATTATTAATGCACTACATGTTTTAGTTTTTTGGTTTTTTTGTTTGTTTGCTTGTTTTACATGTCCAATATAAAAAACATGGACAATACAGGAATATATACGAAACCCAAAACCAAACCCACTGCCATCAAGTCGATTCTGACTCATAGTGACCCCATTGTGTTTCCAGGCTGTAAATCTTTATGGAAGTAGATTGCCTCAAAAAATTACCCATGATACCCAGAGCTAACCTGTGAATATTTTGATAAGAGTAAACTGACATTTTTATTTTTTGCTTGATATGTTAGTGTATTTTACCACTGTTCTGGTTACCTAGTGCCGCTCTGACAAGAATATACCACAAATGGGATAACTTGAGCAAACAGGAGTTTATTCTTACAGAGGCTAGAAGTCCAAGTTCAAAGTGCCAGGCTCTAGGGACTGGGTGAAATCCCCTCAACCTTGAGCTTCAGCTCTGCCTCTTGCTCCCGGGCCACTGAAGCTAGAGGCATCTCTTCACCCAGGCAGCTACTGGCTGCAGAGGCTAACAAGCCCAAGGTTGACAAATAAAATGGCACAGTTCTGATGTTACCAAACCACACAGCAGGCCACTAATTCAAGTCTATTTAAAGTCCCAAGGTCGGTAGAGCATGGCAGGCTGCTGAACAATGACACGGCTACATGCAGATTTCAAGTGTGCCATAAACTAGAGACCATTCCCAAAGCTGCTTCTTATATATAGAAGCAGACCACATACCCAAAGGCAGCTACTCAGCTGCTCCCAGTAGATTCCACCATGGACTTGATTACCAGTCTCATCACGGGGAATACTACATCCAGCTATCCAGCCACTCAACCAGGGCCAGCCAAGGTGACACACAAACATAATCACCACAAGCACATACTTAAAAGTTTCTCATGAATGCTAGTTTTATGGCTTTATGACATTCCAAGACTTAGATGTATCATAATTTACTTACTTTCTCCCCACTTTTAGACATTTAAGGAGCTCTGATGGCACAGTGCCTAAGGCATTTGACTGCTAATCAGAAGGTTGGCAGTTTAAACCAGCCACTCTGTGAAAGGAACACTGGGCAATCTACTTCCATAAAGGTTTACCACCTCAGAAACCCAATGGGAGTCACTATGAGTCAGAATTGACTCAATGACAGTGGGTTTTTTTTTTTTTTTAGACATTTATTTATCCTCCACTTTTAATTATTATAGGAGGTCCGGTGGCATAGTACCTAAGGCATTTGACTGCTAACCAGAAGGCTGGTGGTTCAAACCCACCAGCCAATCCTTGGAAGGAAGGTTGAGCAATCTACTTCCGTAGTGAAACCATCTTGGAAACCCAAGGAGGGGTCGCTAGGAGTCGGATCTGACTCAGTGGCAGTGGGTTTGGTTTGGGTTTTTTAATTATTATAAACGATACTGTGATAAATACTGTTGGGTATGTGGTATTTGTGTGTGTGTGTATGTATGAGTGTTTACAACCCAATACTTGAGTTTCTCAGATAAAGATTCTTTGAAGTAAAATTCCTGGAACAGTGTATTCATTCCTTTCTCAGCCCTACAGCATGATAATCACCTGTTTCTTATATATTTAAAATACTTAGTAAAGTAGACCCAGAGCTGGCTGGAGTAGTTCTTTGATAATTTTCCCATTTTCTTTCTCAATGTGTGACTTATTTGAATTTAGCCCCTTTTCCCAGAAAACTTTTATTTCATTTAGATTTCCAAATGCAGTTATAGCTCTGCTCTGGTCGCACAGTGGGCAAGGCTTTTGGCTGCTAACCAGAAGTTCAGCAGTTCAAACCTACCAGTTGCTCCTTGGGAGGAAGATGAGGCAATACACTTCTGTAAAGATTTATAGCCTTGGAAACTCTATGAGAGTCACTGTGAGTCAGAATCAACTTGATAGCAGTGTTTTTTTTTTGGGGGGGGGGATAACATGTACATACATCTATGCAAATTTTTATTTTAATTATTTAAATCTACACATGTATGACTATATGGATTATGTGGAGAATCTTTCAATTCTTATTTTTTTTAAATGGGTTCTTGATTAGATTTTTTAGGAGAATATCTCTTATATTTTGGTTTTACTAAGTTCATAGATTCATTCATTAATTCTTCTGCTTTCCTTGTCTCTAATTTTTAATGTTACTTTTATTACTATGCTTTTGAGTATATGAATGTACTATTTTGGTTACATCACAAAAGTTTTAATAACCAGATTATTTTCATCATTTTCTAAACATAAGGGGCTGCTTTTTTGTTTTTAATGTAAACTTGCTGATTTTATTACATTATAATCAGAGAATGAGACACCAGAATTTTTGCTTTTGGGAATTTAAGCAATGTTTTCTTTTAGCTTTGAATATAATCAATTTTTATAAGTGTTTCTTAGAAACTAGAAATAATTTCATATTCTTTATTAATATAGAAGAAAGTTCAATATAGCTATTCAACCTTAATAATAATATTGTATGAAAGTTATTAATTTATGCCTATTCAGGACTATTAATTTATGCCTATTCAGGACTGGTTATATAATTTGATAAGCACAGTGAAAAATGAAAATGTGGGGTCTTGTTATGGGTTGATTTGTGCCCTCCAAAAAAGATAAAAGATGTGTTGAAGTCCTAACCCCTAGTACCTATGAATACGACCTTGTTTGGAAATAGGGTCTATGAAGATAATGTTAACTAATATGAAGTCATACTAGAGTAGAGTAGGTCCTAACTCAATATAAGTGGAGTCCTTATCAAATAGAAGAGATACAAAGACACACAGGGAAGATGGTCATGTGAAGATGGAGGCAGAGATTAGAGTGCTCTATAAGTCAAGGAAGGAGCTCTGGTAGCGTAGTGCCTAAAGCACTTGACTGCTAATCAAGAAGGCTGGTGGTTCAAGCCCACCAGCCACTCCTCGGAAGGAAGATGGGGCAATCTACTTCCGTAGTGATACTGCCTCGAAAACCCAAGGAAGGGTTGCTATGAGTCAGGTCCGACTCGACGGCACGTAACAACAACAACATAAGTCAAGGAACACCAAGAACCACTGGCTGTCGCCAGAAGCTGGGAGAAAGGCATGAACAGTTTCTCTCTCAGACTCTCAGAAGGAATTGACCAAGCCAATAACCTGAATTCAGACTCCTAGCCTCTAGACTGTTGAGACAATGTATTTCTGTTTTTATAAGCCACCACATTTGTGGTACATTATTAAGGTAGCTTTAGGAAACTAATACAAGCCCCTTGTTCAAAAATTATTAAGACTTTAAAGAGGGCAAAAGCAGAGCATTAAATCAAGCACAGGCCTTTCTTAGCATGGGCCACATGTACACAGGTTACACACTGATAAAGCAGGAAGCATCAAGAGAAGTTGGAAAGAATATACATTGTACCAAAAGAATTGGTTGATATTCAACCATTTCAGGAGTTAGCATATAATCAAGAACTGATGGTAGTGAAGGAAGAAGTCCAAAGTGCACTGAAGGCATAGGTGAAAAACATGGCCCTGAGAATTGATGGAATACCAACTGAGATGTTTCAACAAACTAATGCAGCACTGGAAGCACTCACACATCTATGCCAAGCAATTTGAAAGACCTGGTCAACAGATTGGAAGAGATCCATATATGTGCTTATTCCAAAGAAAGATGATCCAATAGAATGCAGAAATTATCTAACTATATTATTAATATCACACACAAGTAAAATTTTGCTGAAGATATTTTTAAAAAGGTTGCAGCAGTACATTGACAGGGAACTAGCAGAAATTCAAGCTGGATTCAGAAGACGACACGGAGTGAAGGATGCCATTGCTGATGGCAGATGGATCTCGGCTGAAAGCAAAGAACACTGGAAAGATGTTTACCTGTGTTTTATTGACTGTGCAAAGGCAGTTGACTGTGTGGATCCTAACAATTATGGATACCATTGTGAAGAATGAGAATTCCAGAACACTTAATTGTGCTCATGAGGAACCTGTACATAGACCAAGATGTAGTCATTCAAACAGAAAAAGGGGATACTATGTGGTTTAAAGGGAAGGAGAGACATCAAGGTTGCACCCCTTTACCACACTTATTCAGTCTGTATATTGAGCAAATAATCTGAGAAGCTGGACTATACGAAGACGAATGCAGCATCAGGTTTGGAGGAAGACTTATTAACAGTCTGTCATATGCAAATGACACAACCTTGCTTACTGAAAGTGAAGAGGACTTGAAGCACTTACTGATGACGATCAAAGACTACAGCCTTCAGAATGGATTATACCTCAACATAAAGAAAACAAAACTCCTCATAACTGGACCAATAAGCAATAACATGATAAGTGGAGAAAAGATGGAAGTTGTCAAGGATTTAATTTTGCTTGGATCCATATAATCAATGCCCATAGAAGCAGCAGTCAAGAAATCAAATGATGTGTTGGCAAATTTGCTGCAAAAGACCTATTTAAAGTGTTAAAAAGCAAAGAAGTCACTTTGAGGATTATATTTATTAGTGCTGCTGTAATAGAAATACTACAAAAGGATGGCTTTAACAAACAGAAATTTATTCTCTCACAGTTTAGGAAGCCATAAGTCCGAATGCAGGGTACCATGTCTAGGGTAAGGCTTTCTCTCTCTGTCAACTCTGAGGGAAGGTCCTTGTCACCTTTAACGTCTATGCACTCAGCACCCTTTGGACATCTCTGTGTTTCTTGGCTTCAATCTTCTTCTGAGTCTAGGTGGTTCTCAGCACAGGGACTCTGAGTCCAAAGGGCACACTCCACTCTCAGATTTTCTTTCTTGGTCATACAGTGAGACCTCAATTGCTGCTTACTTCTCTCTTCCTTTTATCTCTTATAAAATAAGAGTATACTTGGTGAGCACTGGTTAAAGCACTTGCCTGAACTGACCAGATGCTCCTTGGAAGAAAGATGTGGCAGTGTACTTCTGTAATGATTTACAGCCTTGGATACCTTATTGAGCAGTTCCACTTGCCTATTGGGCTGCTATGAGTTGGAATAGAGTTGATGACAATGAGTCTGTTAAGATAGAAGGCAATGGAAACCCCAAAGAAATTCCCCTTACTTTGGATTAAGGGCTATTACTTGAGTAAGAGTACTACTTACTTACAACTGATTGGCTGATCACATCAGATTACATCATGAGGGATGGTTACATCATTATGTAACTGCCAAACCACTGAGAATCAGGGCTCAGGCAAGATGACACATATTTTGGTGTGATACAATTCAATCCATGTCAGGGACTAAGGTGCACTGTCCCAAGACACAGTATTTTCAATCACCTCACATGCATGTGAAAACTGGACATTGAATAAGGAAGACCAAAGGAAAATTGATGGACTTGAATTATGGTGTTGGGGAAGAATCTTTAATATACCATGGACTTCCAGAAGACGGAATAACCTGTCTTGGAAAAAGTACAGCCAGAATGCTCCTTAGATGTGAGGATGACAAGATTTCATCTCACGTACTATGGACACATTATCAAGAAGAATCAATCCCTGGAGAAGGCATCATGATTGGTAAAGTAGATGGCCAGTGAAAAAGGAAGACCCTCCACAGGATGGATTGACACATGGCTGTAACAGTGGGCTCAACTACAGCAATGGGTGTAAGGACGGCACAGGACTGGGCAGTATTTTATTCTGTTGTACACAGGGTAGCTATGAGTTGTAACTGACTCAATGGCACCTGACAAAACAACAATTTGCCTACTGGGTCTGTCATAGATGAATAGCATGTGCCACAGTCACAAATGAAAATATAATATCTGTTAATTTCCACTTGGCATACTAATAGAGTCTACTTTACATAATGTGATACTATTTTACTTATTGCATGAAGCATTATTACTATTAAATTTTCACTGTATATCAAAATTTTTATCAATAAAAAGTAACTCTGCTCCCATAAATGCTTTTTCCCTTATTTCTACACTTACATCAACATTGCTCCCTTTGTATCTTCTTTATTTGGGATTTATCTGCTATCTTCTCCCACCCTTTCCTTTTGTTAATATTTTCTTATTTTTAATTTATTTAAAAATCTTTCCTAAAGTTACACATGCACAGAGTTAAAGAGGCAATCATTTCTATAAGGTTTATTATGAAAAACAGTAACCCTCTGCCCACCTACTCACCATCTTCAACTCCACAAAGCAATCACTTGAAATTCTTTTAGCTTTCAGGGGTTGGGGGTCAGGAGTAATGTATACCTGGAGGTGTATTTTATGAATCCTTGCATCCATGAGAATGTCATTCTGTTCCCTCAGACACGAAGGACTGACCAAGTATATAGATGGTTGAGGTGTGTGTTTGTGTGTGTGTGTATTTGCTACCGAATACCTAAGCTGTGTCCTTGAAAATGTCTTCTCCCATATGTGAAGGGCAGCTTGAATTCTTGTTATTGCATACCTGGACCATAGCAATTTCCCTCTTAAAACTCTGCATATGTTTGTCCATTCTCTTCCAGTATTCATGGTTGTGGATGCCTGCAACATTCTGATTTCTTTTGTAAGCAACTTTTGTTTGATTGTTCATTCTTTAGAGGCATGTAAGGTTCTCTTTCTAAAAATCTTGAAAATGTAAAATATTTCTAGGAGTTGATCTATTTTTATAAATTTGGCTTGGAATATAGTAACAAAACTCATTCCCCAAATCCAATGTCCATTTTAAGAAATGGCAAGTTTTCTTTTATGATACTGCAGTGTAGTAAATTACACAGTATGGCTTTTCTAGCCATAGTCTTTGTAAACTCTGTGGTGGAATTTGCCATGGGCAACTAAGTAGCTCCTAATTGTTAAAGTTATCCACCTGGGGTATTTCTGTTGCAAGCAGCACAAAGCAATTTTCTGGGAAGTTTGCTCTCTCTTAGGTCTGTGGAATTCTGGTGTTGGGATTGGTTGATTTTGCCACTCTGCCAGTCTTAAAGTGAACCCTCCTAGAGGCAGAGAGGAGGAATATTTCTTACTGCTCGCTGAGAGAGATGTGTGGCTGGCAGTCCAACCTGTGGCTGAGAGACTGCCCGTTACTGAAAGAGAGACCTGGCTGAGAGACAGCAGCAGTGGAATCAAGAAGCACGAGACAGAGCAGCAGACTTATCTGGCACAGGGTCAGAGGCCAGGCCAAAAGGCCAAGGGCCACAGAGGCGTGGCCAAGGGTACAGCAGAGGGGAGACTGTCCTGACCAAGGAACTGAATCCTGAGCATGTTCATGAATTTGAGTTATGCCCTGTTGCTTCTCTAATAAACCCCATAATCTGTGAGTGGTGTCTGTGAGTGCTGCATGGCTACTGCAACGAATTCTCAAGCCCAGCAGAGAGGCAGCGAGCGCCGTGGGAGGGATGGTTGATGTCAGGGTTGGTGAAAGGGCTGGAGGGAGGCCGCATGTCTGGCCTTATAGGAATAGGCCTTGGGCTGCTGATAGTGATTCTGTCCTCCTCTTGCAGGGTTAGAGGAAGTCAGAAGATGCGGCCTCCTTGCCCCTTTAGCAGATAGGTTTATAATTATTTTCAATAAGTTAATTTCCTGTTTAAGTTAAAGAGTTGGTTTCAGTTTGTGATGTCAAGAAACACACAAGAAATGTAAAAGGAGTGAGGAATGGACAGACAGAAAAAGAAAAATTTGGTAACAAGACATCCACCTTTCTGAATTTAAACTATGCTTTGTCTTTTAACAGTAGTAATATTAACAATTGATTTTAAAAAAAAATGGTTTATGGAGAAAGGAAAGAAAATTTTTACCTTCAGGGGCAACACTTCCCTATTGATGCCATAAAATGTCGCCATAGCAAGTGTCCAAGACAGCAGACCAGCCACATTCCCACAAACTTTTTTGCCACTTTCAAAAGAATAGTCATCCATATTAAAATATGGCTGTAGTAACTCAACAGTCTCTTCATTTATAGTGTCCTTGGGGAACTGCTGAAGGCTGAACAGGAATCCTGTTGCACTCATCAACTGAAAAAAAAGCATCACAACTTGTAACTCTAGATAGAAAACAAATAAATACTTTCTTCCTAAGACTTAGCATGTATTTCCAAATTAAAATAACAATTGACTAGCCCAAAACATACAAATCAATACTATCACAGTAGTCAACTTACATCTGTAAACTGCAAATTATCTCCTGGTTTCCATAGTGAAAGAGTAAAGAATAAAGTTCTATATTTCCTGTTCAGAGAGTTCATCTAAATGCCACCGAACACAGTCCCCCTCCCCACATTTTCAAAACTGAGCTGAGTTGAAACCAAGTAAGTCTAAGCTAAAAAGTAGCCATTAGTCCCGGACAGACTTCATTAAATGAAGGTGTACTGCACTAAAATCTGTTTTACTCAGATCTTGGTTGATGCAGTTTAAGACAAGCTTTTCAATGCACAATAGTCTATTATTGCCTGTCAGCTTGTCTGGTCTATATCGAGTGTCTTAGGCTGAGGACATCTGCTACACTTCACAAGGCTTAACAAGGTAGATTCACTTACTTTTAATGACTCTCCCCACGATGGTTTGCAGCAAGGTTTTTCTGGATCCATAGTAACAGGGTCAATTTTCTTTTGAAATAGTAACAGAACACAGTCCATGATCCTCATAATAAGGTGTGGGGGTTTTGCAAGTTTTCTGACTGTGGCAATATCATTTGGTTTTATAGTCTATATTTGGGTTCAGAATCAACATATTTTTTGTTCAGTAATATTAATAGTGATATGGAAATCTAATATTTTCAAATAATTAAAGTAGAAAACTTTAAAACTTAGTGTCTCCCCAGTCTCTGGCATTATTTCTTCAAAGGTTTGGATAACAAGATTTTTGTATAATGGTTCTTTCACTGTTATTTTGGGATTTCTGTTTGTTTTTGCTCTTTTTTTTTTTTTTTTGCCTTCTTTTCCCAGTTATTCCCAACTAACTACTTTAGAATATCACCATCATTCATTTCTCACCTTTCCAAGTCCCCTGAAGTGGGCAGAGAAGACACAATTGCCCTGAATTAGGACACCTACTATGATGGAAGCAAAGGGGTAACAGAAAAACAGAGAGCCCAAAAGAAGTACTGAAAACACTCTGGAGATGATACAGTGTCAGCCAGTCTTGAAGAATGACTCTTATTAGACAATGAAGATGAGGAACAGCATTGCTAGAAGAGGGAGAGCTATATTTAAAGGTATTCCCCTTCCAAGAGCCAATGCAGGTGTTTCTGTGTGTTGCAACAGAATGTCAGGAGATGAAGTTCAAAGAGTAGACAGAAGACAGGTCAGCAGCAGCACTAATACTCATTACATTTAGCTTACATCAATCCTTCAAGAATCAATGGGGAATTATAATCTTCACGGAGAGCCAAGAAAGTTAAGTAAATTTACTCCAGATCGTATATCTAAGAAGTGATGGTCGTGAAAGGAAAACACAGATCTGCCTGCCTCCAAAGCATCTTTGGATGCCTGCCTCAGAACTTTACCCTGAGATTGGTGGGTAATCTTTAGAGGATTCAAAAAACTCAGTGTGGTTGCTGACCACTCTGAAAGAGATCACAATAGAGGTCTTGGATAGCGTGGGAGAAAAATGTGGAAAAAAAACTCAAAATCATATAAAAAGACCAGACTGACTGTTCTTGTAGGGACTGGTGGAACCCCTGAGACACACACCCTTCAAACCTGTAACTGAACTCGAATGGCTCAACTTTCAGCCAAGCAAAAGACAGGCATATGAGATGAATAATAACACCAGGGAGGTATGCATTCCTTTGAACAGTCAACCATACAAGGTTAAAAAAAAAAAAAAAGACAGCACTTCCTCAGGAATATAAAGCTCAGAAGGCAGGAAGGGACAGGAAAGAAGGATGAATAGAAACAGTAAACACAGGGAGGACATGGGAAGAATACTGTTACATCATGGGAACTGCAGTGCCACAAAACAAAATGTATACGGATTGTTGAATGGAAAACCAATTTGCTCTGCAACTTTAACTCAAATCACAACAAAAAGTTCAAAAAAAGAAATGGATGTGGCTTCATCTTGGAGGGGATGCTGGAGGATCTGGAAGGCTCTGTATATAATCTGAATCCCTCATACCATTAATTGCCACCCTTATCAGTTCTCATGGAAGACTGATTTAAGAAATGAAAGTAATAAGTTTAAGAGAAGTAAAGACTTTCAAAATTAAATCTTAGAAAAGTAAATAATGGAAACATTATTTTCCAGACTCAGTGAGTGTAAACCACATTAGGAATCCAATTTGATTTTCTGAGTACAAAAATTCCATAGTTAATTTCATGTGAGGAAACATGGTGCCCACTAGTCCTTTTCGTGGGAGGAATAATGATGTACTGCTCACATTCAGGGCTGCTTCTGCCTCTTCCAGTGCAGGTTTAGCTGCCTCAAGTTTGGTCTCAGCTTTTACTTTTTCAGTATCAATTTCATCCACAATTTTTTGGGCTTTGTCTTTTACCTCCTGTACTTCATTTTTCACTTTGGCTGAAGCCTGAGCACTGACTGTGACTTCTGCTAATACCTGTCAAATTGAGGAAACAGAAAAGAGCAAATCAAAGCCTTCCAAGCAAAATTTATAGATCTATAGTAGATATTTTATATTTAATATAATAAAAAAAACATGAATAAGTGAAAATTTAGGCTCCATCTAAGTCATCTATATTTTAAGGCTTTTAACAGTAATTCCTTTGAGCAGTTCCATGCAGTTTTCTATTTTCTAAGCTTTTCTCAAGTTCAGAATATATAAATAAACATTTCAAGCTTTCAGGAAAATGTTATTTCCAATATATGCAATTTCTAGGGAATTAGAAACAATTCAAGTAAATACAATAGAATATTGTCAGAAACCATAGTAAACACACAGCAAAAAGAAATAGTTAATTTTGTTGAGTGCTTACCTTATGTCAGCATTGTGCTAAGTAACTTCCCTATGTCATTTCATTCACTCCAGTAACTGGCTAAGCGTCATGATCTACATATTTATTCTTAACTGACTCAGTGAGTGGAATCTGAGAACAAGCTGAGACTGGTGGGTGATAGATAAGAAGCAGCATATATCCTACCACCTTGCGAAGACTAACTTAGACAGGTAGTCCTGAAATTGTGACATATTCAAGTTACAAGGAATGGCACATAAGACTCTCTCCTTTTTATTTTTGTACATCTTATTGCTAGTAAAGGAGCTCTGGTGGTATAGTACCTAAGGCATTTGTTAACCAGAAGGTTGGCAGTTCAAACCCACCAGCCACTCTGTGGAAGGAAGACTGGGCAATCTACTTCCGTAAAGATTTACCACCTAAGGCATTTGTTAACCAGAAGGTTGGCAGTTCAAACCCACCAGCCACTCTGTGGAAGGAAAACTGGGCAATCTACTTCCGTAAAGATTTACCACCTCAAAAACCCAAAAGGGGTCACTATGAGTCAGAATCTACTTAAGGGCAGTGAGTTTGGTTTTTTGGTTTTTATTGCTAGAAATATGTACTACATACAATATTGCAATACATCATCTACTAATATCATCATATCTATAAGTTTATTGGTAATGTTTCCAACTCTCAAGACAAATTAAAATTGGATTTATAAAGATACAGATAATAAAAGGCAATAATAATGAAAACTAAAAAAAAAAAAAAAAAGAAGGATTCAACTTACAACAGAACTGACTTATGATACAGTTGTTCGAACGAAACCCCATTGTAAGTCAGGGACTACCTACATGTATATATATAAAATATATATTATATATACACATGTATATA